AAAATAGTCAAAGACTTTTTCTTCATATTCTATCTCAAGAGATGAAGAAAATGTGTGTAAGACATGCTTTTCGATAATAGACACCAGCCATTCTTCCACTACCACATGGATTTTATCCTGTAGAAATTTAACAAGAGTTATTTTCTTACAACGCTCTTAGTATGGATTTGGAATTGTTAAGGGTATCTTAACAAAACTGGCTGTTATTTCTCTCCTTCTCCTCAAATTGTCAAGTAATGTGATCTCTTTTAAGTCATCTCTCACACCAGGGTTTTTTTTCCATGTTTACAGTTTAAAGGAGAAAGTTATCCTATATGTTATGCACAATTGTAATAAATATCTTTTTTTGTTCATCTCAGAATAATGGAATTGTTGGTTCACAAATTGTGGGTCAACCTATTTCATGACCTCGGTAAACAATATAGTTCAGATCTCCTTAAGCCTCCAGAACAAAATGGAATAAATTAATCCACTTTTGAAGAACTAATCCGGAACTGCAAATCATACTAGCCAAAGTAAAATATGGATACATACAAGGATATATATGTAGTAAAAGATTCTCTACAGTTTTCTATGTCCCATCAATAGTAGTTTATCACTCAAGAACACAGAAGAGTTAAGCACAATCTGAAGTATTAGAGCTATTATGATATTAAAATATAGCAGTATCTGAGGGGAAGGAAAAGATGGATAAACCTCATTTTTATTTATCGATAAAACTTTATTTTTATACATTATTGTTATATTTTAGGTGAAAATACATTTAACTTTTTTCACATGTGAATTACTAAAGTAAAAGTGTGTTGTCTCTTTAACTAGTTTTAAGAACTTTTTAAAAATCTATCTATGCAAGAAAATGAGTTATTGCAAGATTTCTCCAGTCTGGAACAAAGCACACTAAACTGATGTAAAATATATCCTGTAAAATACTTATTGGTCAGTCACATTTCTGGGTTAACCTACCTCTCAGTTATTATGAAATTTAAAACAAAGTGAGGCAATGGACACTCCCTTGATCTCCTTAAGAAAAGAGGAATATCGGTGTAATAAAAAAAGTATAAAATGATTGTGCTGATTGGGATGGAGTTATTACAAGTTGGGAAAGGCTTTTTTAATACCATGAAAGTTTCCAAGTTTGTGTATTTCTTTTATGCAGATGAGTTCATTGATATCTCAAACCAATATTGCGCATCTTCCCCAGAAGTAGAAGTGCAAAAAATCTATTTAAGAAAGCAATATAAGTTAAGCAGTACAAAAGTTATGCTATAGTGACTCCCCTGAGCACCATGATATTGCCACTGCAATAGCAAATAACTCCAAGGAATCCTCTGACTTTCTGTGAAGTTTGAGCATGCAAGCTAAAATCAAAGAATTTCCATTTCAACCCTCATGATGGCCAAAATTAACAAGGTGGTATTAGACAAATCATGATTGTTTCAGATTTAGGTTTTCTTCACATCACAAATATGCAGATGATAATATCAGGGCCATTTTAAATTAAATAAGAGAACTGTATACAGTATGAATGTTTAGGAAAACACTATGTAAAAATAGTAAGGACTGTTGTTAGTGTGATTTCTTTCATTTAGCTTTGCCCAATTACAAGCACATTTATCATGGAGGAAAAGAACCAGGGAAACCATACAGGCTGCCAAGAAATGTTGCTGTAAAAAATCAATCGAGTGCCCATAAAACCAGTGGCCCTAGTAGCACCTTTGCCACACCTGACTTTTCTTAGATTCTGTTAATTAGTAAGTAAAAAGAAAGTGCTCCATGTTTCAGCCTTTTTTTTTTCCCTTTGAAAAATGCCTCTGGAGCTTATAATAAAAAATGCTGGGTAGTTGCAGTCTACTGATTTGCTTGGAAGTATTGCCAGCTGCCCAGGAAAAACAAAAGAACAAGGTCAGCTTGAATGGTAAAAAGCATAATTTGAATTAGATGGGAAGGTAGAGATCAACTTAATTATATTACCTTTTAGTAAATGCTTGTTACATGATTGGCCATATGTATCATGGCAGTCACTGTGCGAGAGTACCCATGATACACTCTCAGAATTTCAGATTTGCTAACAAGCTCCGCAGAATTTGTATCACTATTTATGTGATCATAATCAAGCTTTTGGGAATCTCCAACTAAGCCCGTTGAATAAATAAAGATGGTGTAAATGTGCCTTGTATTTTGTTCAACATATAGATGTTGACATCCAAGATAATATTCTTTTGGCCAAGTTTTCTTTATGGTCTCTAAACAGTTTGTAGTAGAATACCAAAGTACTCAGATTTCTAAGTGTTCAGGAATAGCAGCAACTATTTCTTTCCATCACCCGTATCCACCTCCAAGAAAATGTAATAGGGAAGTTTTGTGTGAAGAATTTGTGAGCTCAAGGCTCGTAGTAACAACCCTTAGCGTGCAGTCAGATATGCTCTTTTCATTCATTCTAGTTGAAAGTCCAGCACTTTTTAAAAGCCACTGTTTTGCACTTTCTACCAGAAGAAAATAACACAAATCCCACAGGTTCCATATATGTCCGTCCTTCCATTATACTGGATATGCTTTGTATGAGAAGGTCCTAAGTTCAGCCTCTGGCAGTGTGCTAGAGAGGTCAATAATCTGCCTTAATATGAAAAATATTCTACTGATGTTCCATATGATCTTAACCTGGACCATGAGCTCACCAGCTACCTGTGCAGCTTCACCTGCAACTGCATAAGATTTCCACAAGCATGTTAATTGAGCTGTAGTAAAATACCTGCATGTCAGTGCTACATCCAAGTCAGGTTCATATTAAACTGACTGTGGTGAACTCACCCCAGGCCCTGAAATTTAATTCCATGGGGTTTTCTTCCTCTAGGGTAGTAGCCAACCTGATCATTAACTGGTTTGGTTTCTGAATCCACAATTTTGTAGGGGCGGCGGCGGTGGGGGGGTACTCTAAGATGAGCACCACCTGCATGTGCAGAATGGACCATAAAATGACATGCTGGAGTTTTCCCATTCCATCTCAAAGAATACAGTATTGTAGTTAAAGGTTACTGTATAAAATTACTCCTCTTGTCAGTATAAAACTCCACTGATTTTCATGAGTAGGATGGCAGATATACTCATTCAGCACAGGCATCTCCCCTCTCTCTTCCTTAATAGCAGTACAGCTCTCTGCAGCTTTATTGATATTCTTTCAGAAAGCAAACAATATACTATTGGAGCAATTAGAAGAGCTGAATAATAGAATGAATAAAGACATCTCAGGCATACACACCTTCTTCCCCCAGTAATTTATTCTTTCCCCACCATTAGTTACATGTCTGTTTACAGTTATGGGAGGACCTTTGTGGTGCAAGGTAATATATTCTCTTCAGATAACTAATGGGCTTAAAGATGTTCTTTGCCTTCAGGAATAACATGTCAGAAGAAGCCATTCAATCCTCTGTTCAGCCATGAAAGATATGGGAGCCCTCTTTGGATAACAAAGTGAACATCTGAGATGTAGGCTACAACACAGATGGATGTTGGCCAGGAGGCAGGCTAAACGTGTTGGGGTGGGAATGGCCAATCAGGTTAAGGTAGTGGCGGTCCAGACCTTGTACTGATGGCAAGAAAGTGTTGCGCTGCTGTCCTGGACTGGTGAGGGGCATAGTAGTATTGGGAATGTAAGGAATGGTGGGATTTCTGGTGGAGCCATGCCAGGAGAAGTGGCCATACCCAGACCCCTGTGAGAAAACAGGGTCATTAGTGCCTTGACCCAAGCAGTCTGGAGCTGGGGGAAGCTGGTAGGAGAAGTCTGGCTCTGGAAGAGATCCCAGTGAAGTAAAGAGAGGTTCCGTGATAAAGTGAGCTTTGGATTGCAAGAAAGCCAGGATCCGGGCATACTTGGTATCTTTGGTCTCCATCCTCTCCACTGTGGTCAGGTAATGAACTAGATTCTTCATGCATTCATGATAGCCATAATAGAAGTAGTTGGCAAACTCAGCTAGAAGTTCTGCTAGAAAGAAAGAAACAAATAGCATTATATGCTTGGCTTTGGGGATGTATGGTTTTGCATTTATGGGATTTATATTTCAGTATAATTCTTTCCATGTGTAGCAATAAATTAGCAAAAACTTTTTTCTTTTTAACTTAGTAGGCTAATTTCTGAAACTGACAGTACCCAAATCATGCCATGTGGGAGGCCTCCAAGTTAGTGGTATCAGTGAAGGTATCTATGGAAGGCAGTGTGACAATGACATTTAATGGGTTTCCAGCAGAGTCAGAAATTACAACCACACAGCTGATCATTAGATGAAAAAGCCTCACTCAGATCCTCTTAACAGAAAGTTTATACCACTTATACAAGCATAATCTCAATCTATGTCTGTCCCAGACTTTCCCAACATGGTTCTTTTCAGATATGTGGACAACAACAACTACCAGCCTCACTCAAGCCAGCCAGAAAGATGGACATTGTAGACTAACACATTTAGACCTTCAAGAAGACAGAATTAATCAAAATTTAAAATAACTGTTCAATCAGCAATGTCATACTGTACTAGCCCCCCCCCCCCCACTCTCCTTCCCTTCCATGAAGCCCTGGCCTTTACACCAGATCACTCTGCTTCCCTTCGCACAAAGGGACAGTGGCTTTCTCTATATACAAAGAGACATGAAACCATCCAGAGCAGTGTTTCTCAACCTTGGCAACTTTAAGATGTGTGGACTTCAACTCCCAGAATTCCCCAGCCAGCACATCTTAAAAGTTTCTAAGGTTGAGAAATACTAATCTAGACTGAATGGAGTTTATTTTATCTCAAAATAAAATACCATGTGTGTATACATGTACAAAATATGCATACTGTGTGTGTATACACACACAAAATACGCATCTACCGAGGGTTAACACATCACAAAGTTGACCAAGTGACAAGGGTGCTGTAGTCCTTAGAAGTTTGTACCACCATAAAACATGTATTCATCTCAAAAGGCTTTATTTTAGTCTATTTAAAATGGATGAATATTGGACATTTAACAAATGCTGGATCCAATCAAGTGTCCATCTAGCCGACCACACTGTCTTTGCCTCCATCAAAGTCCAATCGCAGAAGCTCACATGCAGTGAACTGCCTCTCACCTGTGCATTGACTCCATTCTATTAATTTATCTAACCCTTAAAACAATACTTAACCATTCTAAAAAAATCACAATAATGTTACTCATGCCAAAGGCTTGTTCATTTATTCTTTCATCCACTGGAATCCTTCAGGACACCCCAGAGAGGAGCAAATGCTAAAGCTTAGGGACTCGGGAAGGGGTTAAGATGAAGCCGCTCTTTAGCTGAGCCCCTCAGAGCCTGTAGGGGGGCAACTCAATCACAGTCTTGAATTTCCTGTTCTCTGGTGTGATGGAGGACTCTGGCTGGATTATCCTATCACACAGAACCATGATGGTGTGTTTTTTCTGTTTTTGGAGGGGGGCGGGGGTTGGGTTTGAGTTAAGACAATATGCAAACCAAGCCATTGAGGTAAATAAACCCTGGTTTATTGCTTAGCATTTCAAGTGAAAAAGTCTATAGTGGCTTGTCAATAAACCGGGGTAAAACAAGCCATGATGTTGTGGTGTGTGAACCCAGCTGGTGTCATCTAAGAGTCATGTGGTCAGAGAAAGGCAGGGAAGGGCAATCTGGCTCTTCACATCAGACAGCAAAATGGGGCTGGCCCTAGCAAGGCAAAGTGTGTATTTCATCCCAGAGAGGTACCAAATTTAATCCGTGGTAAGAGAAAGGATCGTCTGGCATTTTAAAGATTAGATTAACTGAATCTAAGATAGTGTTCTCATGACGCGCTGCCTCAGCCTCACTTCGACCCAGGGTGCCCTCAAATCTGCCCGCGCCGCTCTCTGCGCCGGCCGCCCGGCCCGCCTGCTTGCTGCCAAGCGCCGGGACGCACCGCCCGCGACGGGCGCGCCTACCCTTTTCTCTTCCCCGAGGGAAATCCGCAGAGTGAAGGGCCCTCAGGTATTGCACCGTCATCTCCAGGATCTCCGCTTTCTCTAGCTTGCCGGAACTCTGCAAGGGATCAAGAGCAGCATTTCAGGAGAAGTCGAATCCGGCGCGAAGGGACAGAAGGAAAAAACCCTGCCATGGCACAGAACGAAAAGGGCGTTCCATTCCTACGCCTCAACTCGGGCTCCCCACTGCGAATCGGAATCGCGGTTTCCCGTTCGAGCACTCGAGCCAAAAAATGGTTCCTGCCGGCTCTAATCAAGGCCACCCGTGTCACTTGCTGCGTGTTTTCTCTGGGAAGCTCCCGGGAGTTTCTTGCTGGGAAACGCGCACGTACCTGTTTGGCCAAAGCCATGGGCACGGTTTTCCCCAGCTCGTTTAGACAGCGGTTGATCCGGTCCCTTCTCCTCTTTTCGATCACTTTGTGCGAAATGGGGATCTTCTGGAAAACATATCAGTGGTGCAGGATAAATACCCGAGGAACGGACAAGCGGGAAGATAAATCAAACCGGGTGGAGTCCCGTCGGCCCTTGTATTATCGTCAGACCATTTAAACGTTACTCGATGCTTTCGGGTATCCATCTGCGCTTCACCTTTTTTATAGTTCCCCGTCGAAATCCTCTTTTAAAATCAGGATCGTGGGAATTCTAGAATTAAACTCTCCATCCCCTGTTAAAACTTTGGAGAGAAAGTGAGTGAGTGTGTCTTTTCGGCAGTAACCAATGATAACTCAGTGGTATCCCATTCACACCGGAAAGGAATGCAGAGGAAAGGAAAGGAAAGGAAAGGAAAGGAAAGGAAAAAAATGCGACAGGACGAGAGAATACAAGACCGGCTGAATGACTGGGTCACCCAGGGGCATGACAGGCTCGTATCAGCTGCCCAACCTGAGAAGGGTCCTTTCGAAGTGTTATTTCCGTTGGTTTGTCTGTCTGGTGCTGCGTGTCACCCCACACACCCACCCCACTCCACTCCACCCTCTTCTAAAGCCACAAAGTCAATGGCCGAGGTTAAAAGCCAGCAGGTTCGCTGGAGAAGGCTGAGCTCGGCCTTAAGTGCGCGGGGCAGCGCCAAAAGCGCCAACTCACTTTCCGTTCCTTAAGTTTTGAAGACATCGTGGCAAGAAGCCGGTGGGGGAAAGCTAGCAGAAGACACCCAAGATCTCCGCTCAAGTGGCCCAGGTGGATTGCGGAGCCCTAACTTCGAAGAGGCGGTTTATAAAGCGATCATTTCTAAGGCGAGGGAGGGGGCGATATTCATGGCCTGCCTGCTTCCATAGGATTAGGGAAAGCAGCATTAGGAGAAGGCATGCATTAAAGATAAGGTTTTCTTAAAATGTGTGTATGTACAGGGTGTTTTCCCCCTGCAGACTAGGGGAGGGTGAGGGGAGGACGACAGATCAGCTTTGTCACTCCACGTGGCCCTTCAACGACACGTGATTGGCCCCCAAGAGCATTTGCATGGCAACGGCCAGCGCAGGGCTGCTGGAGCAACAAGTGGAGCGCAGTAGCGCGCCGGCAGGTTGTGAAACACCAGCGCCCGTCTTCAAAGCCCCCAAACGCCTGGTCGGTCTCTCACACGACCGCCTGTTTACAAATCCCAGGGACCTCTTTCCCCCACCCCCTCGCCGCCTCCCTTCCCCGTCCAAGCGCCGACTGATTTTAAAGCCTGTCCAGAGTCATTAAAGTAATTAAGTAAGCCCTTAATAGGCTGTTCCGCCCAGTTCAAGGAAGAGCCCTTGGAGACGGAGTGGGTCCGTTTGTTCTCAGGCTTTTCTCACACGACTTGGTGACACGTCCATCTTTATGAGAGATGGCAGCGAGGCTTTTTTGTTTCTATCGCTTTATGTGGCGAGGACACCCCAGCAGGTGTGGGGACTGGAGGGTGGCACAAGACCCCCTCCCCCCTTTTTAAATTTCTCTCCTCCCCTCAGCAGACCCAGGGAGGCTCCTTCAAACCTTGGCACACGACCGTCCTTTTTCCTATGGTGTGTATGTCTCCATCTTGTTGTTTCCCCCCTCCTCCGCCCTCCCCGCCTTTGGAGAGGCTCAATTTGTAGCCTATTATCCTATAGGAAAATGTCCCATTGAAAAGTGTGAATGGTTTCATTGGGCCTAAATTTTAATAATGCGGGTCAAAGAAAAGAGGGGCAAAATAAAGAGGGAATCGCAGCTGCTCCGGGAGCGCATTATGCGGTGTCACCTGCACCTATTCATTTGCCTAATTTTGGTCAATTTAACAAACTTCAGGAGAAATTATTGTGGTATTGTTAGGGAGGGTAAAGCTTTCTGATCGAATTAACAGCATGTTTTGATCCGGTAAATGTCATGAGAAAGAAAGAAACAATCGCGTTTAAAGGGGCTTGGAGTGAAACGCGCCAAGTGGAGACGCCAAAGCGCAACGCTCACAAAGGGAGCAAGTAACTGCCACAGGGAACTTTTGTACATGCACATTGCTGAAGTTTTTACACAAAAAGGCATTATTTCATACTTGAATACGTCTAATCCAACAATTGTCTATTTTCTGCAAACATATTTTCACAGCATTGTTCACTTTTTTCCAAGGGCCTCTGCTCTGGCAGCCGCGCCTCTTGCCTTGAGAGCGCAAAGGACTCTCGTTTTGGGGGGCAACAGATTTGTCCAAGGGGGGCGTCGAGGGGGAGAGAATGGATGCTGGGGAAAGTTGCTTTATTTATTTTGAAAGCCTGATGAGGAAAATATGGGAAACACTCCAACAGGAATCTGAGGAAATTCACTGTAGAAGGTGGGTCCTTTTCCTCACCAAAACCTCCATGCGCATTTTCAGATCCCTTTCAACTTGCAGTGGCACCTCCTTTCTGCATGGCACAAGGACACCCCCCCCCCCCGCCTCCGAACTACTTCATTTGATATTTTGACTGAGAAACAAATGCGATCCAGAATGCAACCGTAGGTTTGCCCGCTCATATAAAAAAAACCCAGAGAAATTTGGAGAGATGTGCCAGAGCCCAGACTTTGATCCAGTCATTCTGGAAATGGAGCCTATTCCAGAGAAATATTATGACTTGCTCTTGATTTCAAGCTCTTAGTTTCAGGGTCACATTTTGCAGGTTCTCTTCTCTTCCTTTAAAACAGATTAACGCTCATCTCTGTTATTATTAGTTTAGTTTAAAAAGTGCCACATGATATCCTTTCATTTAACTGTTTTCTTGTTCTTTTAACTGCATTCATGGCAAAATGCAAATTGGGATTCTCCTCTCGTGATGAAATACCAGCCAAAGAAATGTTTCCTTCTCAGTGTTTTGTCTGCAACCTGTTTTGTCTGCAACCTGGTGGGTGACTAAACAAACCCTTGCAAAACGTTTTCAGAAACAGCGGGCCTTGCTCGAACCAGCCTAGGGACGCTCCTGAGTGCTGCTCTGTTGGCGAGAGATGTCCTTTCAGAAAGCTGGTAGGTCTCAGTATATTCAGCCCTGCACAAAGGGATTAGAAACTAACCGTTATCATCCAAATTAACTAAACTTTGAATAGTAAATGTAGGAGCTTTATTTTTTTTCCCTCCAGCCAGTGGAGAAGGAGTTGATCCTCTTACTGTCTGTGTTAACCGCCAGCTGCAGGCACCTGCAAGGCGATTCTTTTTTTATACCACTGAGTTTGTTTATTTGCTTCTTTTTTCCTCCTGCCAGAGAATTGTGTCTGGTCCAGGACAGGCTCCAACAAGGTGCGGGTTCAGGCTGGCAATGAAAGCTAGAAAGGACACGTGCAAACTGGATATGACAGGGGTGAGGGTGTCCGGGTGCTGGAAACGTTATGGCATATTAAGGAGATAGGTTTGCTGTTGCTTCTGACTTCTAACGTTGCATCTCTGCTTAGACTAACAATGAGGGCTCCAGACATACATTATTAGCTGCTTTGGACGTCTCCTGTTGAAGACTTGCAGAGATAGGGAAATGCTGTATTTTTTTAACTCTCCCCAAATCTCTTTTTTGCTTGTCAGTGCAGGAGGGTGTTAAATAAATACAGTATGTTAACCTTGCCTTGTGCCTTCCTTTCCCTTCCTAACCATAGGAAGGGAAATGACTTTTAAAAATTGTTTTGTTAACAACTTACCTCTTTTAAACTAATTTTTAAAGGAATGCTTTAAAGTGATGGTGCACTTACTTGTAAAAAAATGTTAAAAAACCCAAGGAGGCTAAATGCAAAATGATGTCCAGTCTTGCATATAAATGATGGAGTCTCCTCTGCTCACTTGGAGCAATAAGCATTAATGGACCCTCTTTTTCATATTGCCATTTTTTTCCTTGGCTGTGGAACTACAAAATACAGTTACATTCTAAGTGAGCTATATTTTACAGAAGTGCACAGTATCCTATCCATATCAGTGGGTAGAATATGTCTGTGATGTACAGTATTTGGGTTTTCAGTGGTTAGTAATAATGTGAAGTAATTCAGTGTATCTATTTCTAAACAGATGTACAGCAACAGGTGAAGCATCCTATAATTTGTGTGTAAATGAAATTAACCCTATAAATCAAATTTAATTCTGGCTGACAAAGAAAAAATGTTCCTTAAATTCTGCTCATGAAATGTCAATGGATAGGTAGAAGCAAGTGCTTTAAAGTTGCAGCTCTAATACTTTGAAGTTCTGAAATTCCAGAATTCAGCTGTATTTTATTTTTTTTACATATATGGATGCACAAATGTGAGAAACATTTCTATATATCTACATTGTCAGAATGACTTGGATGCTTACAGGAGAAAATTGGGGACATCAAAGCCTCTCTCCTCAAAACAGCCATAATTCAGACTTGTTCCTCTGACTGTGTTATACTATGATTCCTGCACTGAGAACTACATGGTCTCCAGGATCCCTTCCAGTCCTTCCATTCTAGGATTCTATTTTTGCACTTATGATGCATCCTTCTGATAACCTATTCAGGTCGTTCTGCCTAAATGGGTTGTCATCATTCAAGGGAGAGGGGGGATATTGAAAGGAAGTTAAAATACAAGCTATCATCAAAAGGATGTTTCTGTCACTCATGAAATTGTCATGATGACATTGCATGGTAAAAAGTCTGTCTGGAAGCAGCCATAGATAGGATCAGTTTTTATGTCTCATATTGACAGATATCTATAAAGCTTTTTCTCAGATCAATACCAACATAACTTATATTCCTTATTTTAAAGTAAATATATAAATATGGCATACTGAAAAAACACTGATTTGAAAATGCTTGTATATATGCCAAGCTGCCTAAAAATGTATAATCCAGTTCCATAGAGTTGCAGGTAAACTTGTCTTCTTCTACTAATATGCTATAATAGATATTAGACCATATGCCACAAAATCATTTTTAATATTTAATTATTCTGTTATATATCTCTGGGCCCAGAAAATGACTTCCAGAAGTTTACATTATAAAAAAACAGAAAAACATAGTAAAAAATTAAAAAAACAACATGGAAGTTCTGGTAATAAGCTTACCATGCAAAAACTTCAAAGAGCTTCTTGCTTCTTCAATGTTCCACCTCTGAACTGGGGCTAATCCTGCTGCAGAGGAACTACTGACTTCATTTAAAGAAAAATCTTTGCTGAATAAATTTAGAAAGCCATTTATTGGAACATATATAGTATGAAGAAGGACGATGCTTCTGAACTGATAGCTAATATTTCAAATGTTTTTGGAATATCATCAAGATTCATTCAATGATTTCAGTACACGTTTAGGTATTTACGTTTTTTCTCTTACAAAAAATTAAACAGACTATTATTCTGTAAATCTATATACTACTAAAACTCTCATGTCTGTAACCTTCAACTGGGTGAAACGATGTGTCATAGGGCAACAATTTTTGAACCAAGGTACCTCAAATGGGCTAACTTACAG